AATGTTCATTATTCTCTGTATAATAAATGTTAAGGCCTATATCGAAACTATATTCTAATTATAAATTTTAATATACTAATCAAGTTAGACTTAGACTCGGAAGTGCATTTATTTTGGCATCAAATTTGAGAAAAGAATTATAGAAATTAATAATAAAAATCAAAACACGAGAGCACGTGCCGAGTTAAAATAAAAATTGAAATTTTGGTGGTAATAAAAAGTGTTATCAGCGAGTTATCTGATTTATATTGCAGAAAAAAAAAATATATATATATTAATAGCAAATCATGTTCGTTTAAGAAGAATAGTAAAATTACATACTTGGTAGTGTTGCATTTATTGTACGAATAATTCACGAGATAAATTGGGATGTTTTATTGCACTCAATAAAGCTAGTGTAATCAATTTCATTTCGAATGAAATTTCTTCTGCCAATAATATCTATTATTTTGAAATTATACACACACGCACGCACGCACACGCACGCACGCACACGTACGCACGCACACGCACACACGCGCGCGCACACACACACACATCAATTATGTACACGCGCGCGCACACACACATATATATTCCGCAAAAAAAAAAAATACCTGCCTATGACAAATTTATATATACTTATATATACCAAGCTATAAAAGTGTTTAATTTTAATTTATTCGTTAGACTGTTTGTTGTTTAAAGAGAACTTATAACTTTTGAAAATAATGATTGTCCTCAATTTTAATTAAAAAAAAAATTTAAACAATAAATATGATCTCATTAATTTGATAATATAAAATACCCAAATACATTACACGATTAATTGTTAAAGCGAAAAATTAATAAAATTATATTATTATTATAATAATGAATTTAGTTGTATTATTATAGATTATGATATTAGTAAATAGATGAGTGACTTATTCAAAGATATTTTAAGGTGAATGATATTTGAAAATGAAAATGGAAGAAAAATTTTTAATACATAAAGAATAACAATCACTACGAAATAAAACTATAATTGCATTCACTAAAACGCATTCTTTTTTATTGCAGAATTTGATCGTTACAGTTGGCAACGTGACGGTTCGCGCGACAGACGTACAACGAGAACAAAAAAATATAAGTGATCGAGATCTGAGAGCGCAGAACAATTGACGATTAATACAAATCACGTATTGTTTTTCATCTGACCTGTTTGAAAGATGTCAGATGAATCGCTCTCCTCTTGACTTTACTCACTTTACGCGCTCAATCTCTTCTTCTGAGACTCTCTCTCTCTCTCTCTCTCTCTCTCTCTCTCTCTATATATATATATATATATATATATATATATATATTCGTCTCTAACTTTCTTTATAATTTTATGTAATAAAAACATCAAGACAAACGAGAGACAAAGAGAATCAGAAGAAAAAAAAAACAATCAGCCCGAGTAAGATATAGTCACAAATAACTACATGTTACGAGACACAACTTGCTTGCAGAAATTCCGAGTCCCGAGGAAGTGAATATTATCAGCTTGTCATCTCCTCCGCGAGAAAGAAAGAAAGAGAGATAGGGAGTGAGATAGAGTGAGAGAAAGAGAGTGAGAGAGTGAGAGAGTGAGAGAGTGAGAGAGTGAGAGAGTGAGAGAGTGAGAGAGTGAGAGAGTGAGAGAGTGAGAGAGTGAGAGAGTGAGAGAGTGAGAGAGTGAGAGAGTGAGAGAGTGAGAGAGTGAGAGAGTGAGAGAGTGAGAGAGTGAGAGAGTGAGAGAGTGAGAGAGTGAGAGAGTGAGAGAGTGAGAGAGTGAGAGAGTGAGAGAGTGAGAGTGAGAGAGTGAGAGAGATGAGATGAGCGAAAAGGCGAGCAGTCGCTCTGGGGGAACTTCAAATCGTGGATAGAAGTACAAGCGCCGCCGCGCGTATTTATCGTGTCGCAGTTTCGCTTGCCACTTCGCATCGTTAGCACAGGTATTCCATTTTACTCTCGCGCATTCAATGAATGACTAAGGTAGTAACTACGATACGTGGAATTTCTACTTTTCGCTCGCTTTTTTCCTTCGCTAAAGCGCTTTTTACTGAAGAAGCTGAAATTCAGCGACGTGTATTACAAGCACAGTGCTTGGTCTTTTTTCACGTGTACCGCTGTACGCTTTGAAAATTTCGAAAATTAACGGATTCGGCAGCAAAGCTTGTAGATTTTATAAGTACAAGAAATCAAGTGTATCGAGGAAAAAGAGCAGAGTTCACAAGAAGCGTATACTGGGAATGCATAAAACTCGACGAAAAACTCGTAATTTATTGTTTTATCGCTGAGTCGATAAAAAAAAAAAAAAAAAAAAAAAAAAAAAAAAAAAAAAATAAATAAATAAAATAAAAGAAAGAAAGAAAGAAAGAAAGAAAGAAAGAAAAAGAAAAGAAAAAAAGAGAAAAAGAAAAAAGACGCTTATCTTCATTTTTTTCTTCTTTTAAAGGTAAGATTTTTGTATTTTAATTATGAAATTTTGTATATAAATTTAATAAGAAAGACTGTCTCGCTCTACCTCATCATAAACCATCTAAGCTTTAACAAATTTTTCAATCTAGTAATTTCTTCCAAAAATTACGTTTTTCAATTAATATTAATTCAATACGGTATTTTGTTCTCTTTGAAAAGATATGATAATCTAATTATATATATATATATATATATATATATATATATATATATATATATATTTTTTTATTTTCATATCTTATGTATATATAAACTTTTCATTCATTATATCAAAGTATTTTATAAGGAATTAGAACTTAATATTTGGCATAATAACTTAAGTTGCCAAAAATTGAACGTAATTTCACTAGGTAGTAAGAACGCAGAATAATTTGTTGATTTTTATTTTTTTTTTTTTTTTTTTTCAGTTATCACATTCAAAGAGGATAATATAATTAGATTAATAAAATTATTTACCATGTTAATTTTACTTTTTCTTAAAATACAATATAAACAAAATTTTTACTATCCATTTTATTACATAATTGTCTAATTTTTCAGCTATACATTTCTTATAAATATTAGTAAATATTTATGTTTAAAAAATAAAATTTTTGTTCGAAAATGTAATTAAGGCATTTCTTCTGCTAAAGTTACAAAAGCAATGTTAGTTAATAATCGTGAAACTTTAAGTAAATAAGTAATAGTACCACCACGTAGCAGCATAGATGCACTTTGATTTCATTTCAAAATCAGAAAAAGAGTAAAACTTTATTTGCCATTTAATTAAAAGCCATATCAAGATCAATTTACAGATTATAATATTTTAAACTTGAACTATTCTACAATTAGCATGCAAAACAACGAAAAAAAAAAAAAAAAAAAAAATTTATACACACCAATATAATGTATAATAAAAATATTACCTCAATTACTTGTACGCAAACATTAAGTTTATTTTACATTTTATAGCACTTATTATCCATTAATGACATTTTTTTTTTTTTTTAGTTATTAATGCTTACAAGTATGTTACATAAACAACGTGCCCTCATTCTATAAGTGTCTTAACAGTATTCACCTATACTATGTTTTTTATACTTCGATATGAGGAAAATAATATTATTAATATTCTATTGAAAATGATTAAATTATTAAACTAAATTAAATGACTAGAAATTATTGAATATATTATACCTATTACTGAACGACCATTAATATGAAAATTTACATTTACCGAAAGTTTATTATGGAAGAAAAGACACACTTCGTATATATATATTTTTTATTTTACACTTTCTTTTAATGGCAACAAAATTCTTAAGAATTCTTCCCTAGAGATAAAGCTTTTCACGATTTGCAATAATTTTTTTTTTGTTTTTGTTTTTATCTAAATCAATTTTTGCTGCTAATATAAAATAACTGTATAATTTCTGATTCATTAGAATTCATTGAATATTTCTGCAACAGTTACTTCTAAAATCTGTGTGGTAAAATTTTGAAAAATGTTAAAAAGATTTATTAAATTTTTCTTCGAAAAAATATAGTTAATTAATGAAGGAGCAAATAATTCAATAGACGTCTATCTAAATTTGATTGTTTAAAAAATTAATTTCGATAAGTTTTACGGCAGGCGTTTTAGGAAAAATAATCGATTACAATGTGTATGGTTCGTTCAAGATTGATAAACATTTCAATAATTTTAGGCAAAAAGCCGAAACTAAAATTGAAAAAGAATAAGCAAAAATTTTATTATTAGTTAATAGCTTTTTTTAATGATGCAAATTAATACCGAATCTAGGCGTTATTAAGATTATAATTTTTCAATTACTAATACAACAATTTCTTCAACATGAAACGAAATTAGATGATTGTAATAAAATAATTGCCTTTATTTTATCTTTTATTTTTGTATTCAATAATACTTTGTTATCAATGTATTTATCGTTTTGACTGAAGAAACGATCGTTTATGTATTTATTTAAATTAAATTACAAAATTAATTTTATATTATTGTCGACACAATGATAAAAATAACTAATTTTTTTTTTTTTTAAATATAGTATTCTATTTAAATAAACGAAAATATTTTCAAGTAACATTATACATGTGTTTTTCTTAAAATTTTTCGTAATTTTTATTCATTATTATTTATTATTATTATTTAGAAAACAAAGTATCACTATAGCATATCTATACTATATCACAATATTAAAATGATAATATTATTAATATAATAATAATATGGATTTTATTTTTAATTCTATTTAATTTTAATTTTCTTGTACGATAAAGAGGTATAAGGTATTTAGTTTTTTTTTTTTTTTTTTTTTTTTTTTTTTTTTTTTTTTTTTTTTTTTTTTTTTTTTATTGTATTGTTATAAATGCAGAGGATTGTCGAGTCGATGTCAATAATTTGATATCCACTCAGTATTCGACCTAAATCTCAGATATTCATCTTACATTATCTATTCATAAAATTATCTATATAATACTTTATGAATAAAATATTATTGTGAAATATTTTTAAAAAATTATAAAATAAAATGAATTATTTATTTATAGTAGAATATATTACCGTAGTCATTTGGAAATCCACACATATCCAGAATAAATAGTGATGACTAGTATCAATGGTAAGCTACATCGAGTCCAAGATTTCATCGTTATAGATTTTTTTTTTTTTAACTATTAGCATTAAAATTAATTATTCGTTTGATTGAATTTAGGATTGAAAAATATAAATACAGAAATTACAAGCCAGAAAATCAAGGATAGTCAAGATGAACAGATAGTAAGTATCTCGGCGGGCTTTTTAAAAAATTCAGCAATCTTCGAGAATTTTCTTTATAATAAATTTTGATGATATAAAAAAAGCAGGCACACGGATTCGAAAGAAATATCGCTGGTACGATCACTACGATCATTGCTTGTATTCTGACATGCGGTACGCTTAGATTATTCTTCCATTGGTATCCCCATCTTTATTTATACGCAACACATAAGAAATGCGACTTAAGACGAGCCACAAAAATCCTGATAGTGGTATGATTTAGATTTTTTTTATTCAGTATAAGCTCTTATTTCAGTAATGTTAGTATTTATTATAAGTTTAAACTCACCTATAAACATTTTCTCAGGATGATTATCAAGGCAAATACAAGACCTACTTTGTTAAGAAAATCAATCTCGTGTCAACGCGAAATTTAAGGTTGGTCAATCAAGCGATTAATTATTCAACCGTACATTACCGTGATAATAATAATAATAATAATAATAATAATAATAATAATAATGATGACGATGATGACGATGATGACGATGATTATAATAACAATGATAATAATAGTAATGATAATGATAAAATTAGCTTATTCATGATTATGTATGAAATTCTTTGCTCGTTTATAAAGTTGTTACATTGCATGATCTTATATATCGCAATATCTTTTACAATAATGTATTAAATTTTTTTTATAATCTATCATAAATCATATATAAATCATAAGTCACATATTATCTATCAATAGATTATTATGGATGCTTGATTTATCTAAATATTTATTACTTTATGCAATTAGTAACTGACGACAATTGTGCAATGAATCGATGATTTTGTTCTATTGAATATTATTTTCATTTACACAGTTTTTGTTACACAAAATTGTCATTTTAGTTTAGAGTCGCAGTCTCGCTACTTAAATAATATAGATAAGGATTTGCTAAATAGAATCAAGAACAAGAATTTAGAATTAAACTTGGAAAATGGTACGAAGTGCAAAATACAAGAATATAAAGTTTTTTGGTGTAAAAAGCAATGTTATGTATGGGATGAAAAAACAAATGAATTTTCAAAATTGACTAGTCCTGATAAATATGCCCTTTGCTCAGATCTTCATACGGAAAAAGTTAAAGGATTGTCGATTGAAGAGCAATTATTACGGTACAGTTTCATTTATAAAAATCATTATTTTATTCTATTACATCTTATTATACGTATACAGACAATTTAATATATTATGTTTTTTATGTATATTCTTTTTATTTTCTTACAATCTTTATTGTGCACATTAATTATTCAGTGGAATACCAGATCCTTGCGTACATTTGCAATTCGCTTTGCAGAGTCTAATACGGTTTATTGTTATTTTAATAAGAATATATGGTTAATAGTTCTAGTAGAATTTATTAAATTTTTAAAATAATTCTTATTAATACGATAAAAAAAGAAAATCGTCTTGGAATTTTCAAACATGTTAATCGTATAATATCATAAATTTACGGGAAAAGATAAATACTTTGCTAAATAATAAATTACTTACTAATTAAAAAAATTATGATTTCTTTTACAATTTAAGTAAGTTAAACTAAATTTATTCAATATAAGCTTTATATTATCTCAGTAATATTTTTATTATATAAATACTAAAAAAATCACCTGGAATAAAATAATAAAATTCTTAATAACAATTACTTTAAAAAAGTTTTATGGTTATATAAAAAATATTGCAAATATTCAGATGAAATTTATACGATAATATCAACGAAAATTGAATATAATTAAATTTATTTATTGAATTAGGAATTATTAGATGAAACAGACACATAGCAAATATTCATAAATATTTTAATATGCCGTGTACAATTTTTGTATAGATAAGTACGTATTGATAATTGTATACAATTTAATTTCAAATAAATAGAAAATTTTTTAAATTCCTTCCGTATAATGATTTTATGTAGACTGTATTTCATGTACACTGAGCCTTTACATTAAAATTTTCAATGAATAATACAATGTATATTTAATAAGTAATAAATCTTTTGGACACTTAAGATTATAATTTATTTATATCATATATTTACAATTCAATATATTTAGTTGTTATTATTATTTCACAATGTTACGTGAATTCTTTAGCTATTCCTGCAAAAAGCTTCAATTTATTCTTCATTTAGATAATTTTTGTTTCTCAATTATAACGACGATTTCAAATTGATATCGATGATATTTCGATATGTTGGTAAAAATTCTATAACAATGATGTGAAATTAATTACTTTTGTATAAGTATATTTGATAATAAATATTACCAATTACAATTTATTATTAATTATAAATACAATAAAATAGCGCCTGAGAATAAGCTATTTGCATTACTCAACTGCATATACCTGCAAATTATCTACATTTTCATTATCCGACATTGTTATATAATTAAGAATTAATGCCCTTTACATATTTTAATACTTTTTAGCTATTTTCATATTTTATATAATGGGATTTTATTAGATATGAGTTTTGTAATAGATGTGTAAACTAATTTATATATATATATATATATGTATTAATTTAATTACTGATTCAATAACACATGATTATTTAATAACAAATATTATGTTAAAAAATAATAATAATAATAATAATAATTTTATATTATTTTTGTAGACGACTCGTGTACGGACATAACAAGATTATAGTACCAGTACAAGGAATTCAATTATTATTTATTCTTGAGATCTTGAATCCTTTTTACGTTTTTCAAGTTTTCAGTTTGATTGTTTGGTTTAACGAAGGCTATTTTTATTACGCCATTGCTGTAATGTGTATGTCGGCTTTTGGCATTGTAACATCTATACGACAAATGCGAACAGTAAGTCTTATTAGATTTTTTCAAGTAATTTACGTAATCCTTATTCATTAATTTCATATGAAATTTAATATATACTTTTATCGCACGTTTTAAATTAACGATTCTCGGAAATGTTTAATGTTTTCGAATCTTTATGCTTTTGTTATTATAATATTACATTAGTATCTTAAAACTGATGGAAAAAATAAGTTCACAATTTTGTCCAATTAGTTTAAATCCTGTAGTAATTATTAAAAATGTACGAGGAAAAATGCTTAATGAAAAAAGAAATATTATCTTAATTATATTTTAATGAGTATGACTCTTAATTCTTTAGATAAATGCATCATTAATTAGCCATTGTGACGTAAATGATTTTAAACTTTCTACAGTAGAGTTTTATTAAAGAAAATGTATTCAACATACGGCTTAACATACGTTATTGTTGATATAAATATATAATTTGCTGTACTAATTGCTGTACTACTGTAATAATTATGTGTCATTTACACTATAGTAATAAATCTATAAGTAAAGGCACAGATTGTTATTTTGCTTTGAAAATGTTAATACGAAAGACGATGAACCGAATTTCAGCATATTTTTACATTCTACAGTTTATTAAAAATCTTTTAAATGCCATGATAACAGTTGGTGCACCATTGAAATAATCAATTTACTGGCATACACTTAAAATACTCTGAAATAATCAATAATAATCAATAATCAATAATAATTCTGTTCCAAAATATATTGAAAGCACAGATATGACTCTTATATTAAAAGCTTCGAGCGAAGATCTTAATTAATTGTTTCGAAAAATTTTCACATTGTCTGACTTCGGTATAATTATTTAAAGAAATGACGTATTTGAATGTAAATAAACATTGATATTTAATTATGTGCAATTGTCAAAAGTGTCGAATAGTGTCAATATAAAGGAAAAAATATTTACCAATAAATAAAAACTTTCGTTAAATACAAATTGTATTTGTTCTCGATAATAATACTTGACTTAAAATAAAAAAATATTGTATTTAATAAAAATCCTATTAACACGTAATAATACATTATTATGTCTTTCGTTATGATAATGAATTAATGTAGACTTTCTTCATAAAATAACTATATATATATACATAAATTTTTAATTTATCCTATCGATATCGATCGATAGTACAAGAATTGAAATTTTCAATAAAACTCCTGTACACATTGATTACGCAAACGTATAGCCGAGTTTCACTATTCATCGCAACGTAATAGACGTAAGAAAGTAATTACCAAAGTTTCGTATTTTCTAAATAATAATGTGTGACGGGGCTCGAATGTTGTTATAGAACCAGAAGAATCTCCGGAATACGGTCGCATCCACGGAAACTGTGCGAGTACTACGCAACACAGGAGAATACGAAAGCATCTCCAGCGATGAACTTGTTCCCGGTGATATTATTGAATTACCCAAGCACCGAGCGATCGTTACCTGCGATGCAATTTTACTTGCCGGAACGTGCATTGTCAACGAGTCAATACTCACCGGTAAATTATTAAAAAAATCATCCTTGGATACGATCATGGTTATTACTCTGTTTCTTTTATTGTCTCACCTTATTTATCTTCTTCAGATTATTGTTATTATATAAAATCTAATAAATCTCGCTCTCAACAGTATATTCCGCGAATTGATTAATTATTAATCAATCAATCAATTAAGCGCAATCGTTTGTTAAACAAAAAAAAAACAAAAACAAAAACAAAAACAAAAACAAAAACAAAAACAAAAACTAAAAAGCAACGTATCTTTATATTAATTAATATTCAAGCGAAGATCATTAAAATTTAGTAATTGTGAGAAATTTAGATAAGCATGTAAAAATATCAGCAAATATAAAACACCATAACAGTTAATAATTTTGTATCTTTTGCGTTTAACGGGATATTCCATCGAAAGAGGAAATTTAAATGAAAGTTACCGATTAAACAATTAATTAATGGCCGGTAATGATTAATTAATGCCGGTGGTTATAATTAATTAATACGAACTAAGTAACATGACATTTTTTGGTATATTTTTTTTTGTACTTAGAAAGGTTATTAACGTCACAATGAAATTTAGTATTTAAAATTAATCGAACACTAATGTAAATTTTAATGCCGCATTTTTTTTTTTTTTTTTTTTTTTTTTTTTTGTAATTTATTTGTATGATTGTACAAATTTCGCTTTTTTTAATGCATCGTAGGAGAATCTGTTCCAATAACCAAGACACCTCTACAATCTCAGAATATTTTATATGATTCGAAAGAACATTCTCATCATACTTTATTTTGCGGGGCTACGATAATTCAAACCAAGTAATACTTTTAATAACTCGTTAATTTTATACATTAATTATAAATTAAATTATAACTATGCGCCTACAGACAGTTAAAGGATTTATAACAAATTTCTAATTATAGACAATATGGTAATAAACCGGTGCTCGCGAAAGTCATCAGAACTGGATTGTGGACCAATAAGGGATCATTAATATCAGCTATTTTATATCCACCGCCGACCGATTTTAAATTCGATCAAGATTCATATACATTGATTGCAATTCTAATTGGTGTTGCATTTTGTGGATTTTTTTACACTTTAATAATAATGGTATTGTCATAATTTGTTGATATTAATTAATGTTGAAGTACGTAATGTGAGAATGAAAGTTTGGATCAAAATTAGTCTGTTCGTTAACAATATCGTAAGCAAATAATGTGAAAAAAATATTATGAAATTGATATTATGATAAATTAGTATTACAATTAATTTTCCAAGCTCAATTGCTAATTTAACATTTACAATATTAGATATCAGTGCATAATTATAATAATTATGTAATATTATTTAGAATATATAGAAAATTTTTTTTCTTTTACATTTGCATGAACTTTAACTAGGCAATTGATTCACATAACACAACACAATAATAATATAAGGAATATTGTTATATAGATTGCAAGAGGAAATACAGCGACCAATATCGCTATAAAAACCTTGACGGTATTTACAATTGTTGTTCCCCCAGCTTTACCTTCTGTTATGGCTGTCGGAAAAATGTATGCTTTATTTCGATTGAAAAACAGGCAGATTTATTGCATCAATACGCGAGCAATAATTATTTCTGGCAGTATTGACTGTGTTTGTTTTGATAAGGTAAGATAACTCTCTTAAAACCAAAGCGTATAAGCAATTTTTCATTCCCAATGCTCAACTATATTCAACTTCCGTCGGGGAAGAAAAAAAGAAAAAAAAAGAAATGAAAAAAAAAAAAAAGAAAAAAGAAAGAAAAAAAAAAGAAGAAAAAAAAGAAGAAAAAAAAAAAGAAAGAAAAAAAAGAAAAGAATGTAAGAAAATAATAATAATGTAGTAAGTAAATTTTGCTTTTCAAAATTTCTTATTTATTAATTATATTAATATCGTATTGATATTTCATTAAAGCATTTAGCCACTTTTAACGATATTAGTTCTTAAAGAAATCTGGTGATAAGATTTTATGCTTTTGTTATAAAAAATTTTGCAATTAGAGAAGGATTATAATAGAATTCTCGTTGGTACCATTAAATTAATCAAATTATAATTAGCATTAAAAAAATATTTTTTGTTTTATGAAAATAATAAATTTTATTATAGACTGGAACTTTGACAGAAGATGGTTTAGATCTTATGGGTGTTGTGGTATATGAAGATAATAAATTGAACGAACTTGAAATGAATGTTAAAAAATTAGATGCTACGCAAATATTTCAGGGAATGTTAGTATGTCATAGTCTAACGGTGATTGATGATGATTTAAGCGGAGATCCCTTGGATGTTAAGGTAATAATAGATGAATCTTATTTATCATTAATATTTCTTATCTCAGAAAATTATTACTGTCGCACTTGTTACAATAGCGGTAAATATTTATTTAAAAATAATGTTCAATAATTACAAATATCGTTGAACAAAAGTCATTGAGCGCGAAGATGACATTGGTTGCAAAATGCAACTAATAAAATGTAAAATGAAATTTCAGATCGCGTATTATTCGATCGAAATGTTTATCAAAAGTAAAGATTTATAAATAAATTTAAACGGCGAATGAAAATTTAGACGAAAAATAAATGTATGAGATATGTACTTTTTCACTCTGGAATAACACAGATAAATTGATAAAACGAGAAATTTCAAATAATATTCCTCGGTATTATATGATTCGTCGTATAATAATACATCATAAAATAGCAAAATTACAAATCACTTATGAATAGTAATACAAAATAAAATTAAAGCTAAATTAATTTTTCATTTAGTTGAATTTGTTTTACTGTTTAATTGTAAAACGACAGAATTTTTATTAACCAATTTTCTTTTTCAGCTATTTATCAAACGTAATAAAATAACTATAAAACTGTTTTTAAAAAATAGAGTTAACGTAGAATGAAAATAAATAAGCTTTATGACTGACATTTTTAAATACGTAGAGAAGCAATAGGCTGGAAAAAAAAAGAAAAATTTTTTTTGTTTGCACTATAAATATATCCAATAATACATAAAGTTTTAATTGTAATTGACATTACAAGTGATTATATTACTTTTAACTAACATTTCAATGATGATACGTAGTCTTTGATATAAAATATTTTGAACCGTCATACGTTATGAGAATTACACGAAAATATTACGAAAGGAATACAATTATCGACCAAATTAATACATTTCAATCTATTTTAATTTAACCAATGGACGCTAATTTGTCGTCCTAAGTCACATAAATGGACTAAAACGCGATAGAATAATGTAAAGATAAATTTAGAGTAAAATCGGACAAAAATCTGTCCAAAATTTGCAATGAATGATTACAGTCATCTATCATCAAATTAATGATAGAATATAATTATGCTTTAACGGGGATAATTTCATCAAAATAAGAGAATAAAAAGAATAAAGTAGGTGAAACGCGATCCGTAGGTATTCGAAAGTACTGGTTGGGTATTGGATGAAACGGAGCTCACTGACCCGACGAGGCTTCATTCCCTACAGCCATTGACTACCGTCAAGCCACCGTTTGATGCCAATCTTCTTAACGAAAAAATGGAGATATTTCAGCAGTATCAGTTCTCGAGCAAATTGCAAAGAATGTCAGTCATCGCCAAGTCATCGCTCGTAGGAAAATTCGTCGCCTTTACCAAGGGTTCGCCAGAGATGATTTTGAGCTTAAGTACACCGCAGAGTATACCGAACGACGTTATGATCACGCTTAGGTACTTTACAGAGCAAGGATACAGAGTTATAGCCATGGCCTGTAAGGACATAGACGTTGCCGATGATCAGGTAAGTTACAATACATTCTACTGAGTATAAAGCGAATGGAGAAACGCGATAACCATAGCGAGATGCGATTATACAATGCAAGTACAATTCTAGTAAATATATTAGTTTCTACAATAACTAAGATGTATATTGTACAATTAAATGAATCGAAGAAATCATCTAAATTGTTAAAAAATCACAAATATCTTATTTATAAATTGTAGAAATTCTTCGAGACTCTTTCACAAATACATTACTAATAGCTAGTAACTTACACTTTTTACACTCGTAGGTGTCTTTATTTAACTCGCTCGGATTATGAAATTTTAAAATAATTTCCCTTCGATTTAACTATTCGCATTAAACTTTCTTTTCTTAAACCAAGTAATAACTATTCATATGAATTTCTAATGGTAAACATTACCAATTAACTGGTACAATTATACATTTTTTTTTTTTCCATAAGAAATCGTATATTTATAGTGTGCATATTCTTATAATAAGTATTTCTATTATCAGTTATATAAATAAATACTATAACTATAACTGAATATAGAATATTAATAAAATTAATTCATATATATATATATATATATATATATATATATATATATATGTAAGTTAGTGTTTTTAATATAAACACAATTATTAAAAAATTTTTAACATTTTATTTCATTATTTTTTTTATTTTTAACGAATAAAAATTTTTTTTTTTTTTTTTTTTTTTTTTTTTTTTTTTATTAAAATATAATTTAAAATCTAATTTATAATTTGTTAAATAATGGCTTACCGTTCGACTAGAGTGACTAGAGTGACAAAAAAATTATTAAAACAAAAACTGTTGATTTAGTAAGCAAAAATCTTTATAATTCTTAAAAAAATAACAAGTTATTAATTAAAATATTCAATAACGAGTAATAATTATATATATTTATTTCAAATTGTCCTTCGTACGATGCATTTTTCTGTCGGATGTAATTTTCTGACGGAAATCGAAAAACTTAAGAATTTGCATCGTAAATATTAACAAAAGTGCAAATTAAATATTCGCAAATTATGCAACAAGTCTATATTTTCCATTAAAAATATATTATTAATATTTTGACAACTGACGGCTTGCATTATTTGTGGATTAAAAACACTTGATGCATATTTACAATTTAAAACTTAACTTGAGAATATTGTTTTTACAATTAAGTAATCAATAATGAAAGATGAAAGGGATGAAAGATGAATGAACAATGCTACGTCTAATAAAGAGTCGATGTATTTCAAGTTAATCGGATAAAAGCAAAATTTTAAAGATTCGTTGAAAAAAAACAAAGAAAAACTTTATGAATATTTATTAGACTGGATAGAGTGGTATAGAGGACGCGAGTAATGACAAAAATTATTGTTGGTTAAATAAAATTAATAATAGTAATAATGATAGATTGGAAATTAATACAAGTTTCAAAAGTTATTGAAACATTGAACAAAAAGGAGAATTAACATATCAATATATTTTAATAATTGAAAGGAAATTTACATTCAACATTGTACGTATACATTATGGAGATAATTTTCATTATTCCAATTAGTTTGTAGTTGTAATGTTTTGACGTTAACAGACTCTGGCTAGGCGTATACGTAACTAGAATGCAACTACGAAAACAATAATGAAATAATGACGAGAAGTATTTTCATTAATTCATTGTTTTAAAAGTACTGTAAGTACGAACAAGCATTCGTTTGTCAAAAATGACTTTAACTAGTGTCGATGATTCGGTAGTCTAGAACATAAACTGAATGCACCATATCATAGCCGTGATATCGAGCGATATAAACAAATGTTAAAGAAAACTAGTTTGCGCTTAACGCGTGTAATAAAAACGTAAAGAATAGAGCTAAATGATAATTGCTTTGCAATATAAGAAAACGTCTGATAATGTGCAAAAAAAAAAAAAAAAAAAAAAAAAAAAAAAAAAAATAAATAAATAAATAATTAAATAAATAAATAATTAGCGCGAAAAATTATGATGAAAATTTATTTTCAGTTTGAATCAAAGATACAAATCAAGATAGATATTAGGAATGTAAAAGTTTTCAATTAATAATTGACTTATTCATTAATAACGCGAAATAACCGATCGAATTAAAAATGTTAATTTCCTCGAAATACTGAATAATGTCATTTACCGAATAATGACAATTACCGAAATCTTTACTTTAAAACAACATGAATAATAAATATCTTGGAGAATGCTTTTTTTTTTTCTTTTTTTTCTTTTTCATAATCATGGCAGTACATTAAATTAGCGTAATTTACTTTATATATGATGTAGGCATCTCTAAGTATTATGTTAGATAATATGAAATGTAGTATCAAGACTTATACTTATCTACATTTGAAGTATAAATTAAATGAAAAATTTCTTACAATTATTTATTTATTTATTAATTTTTAAAAAATTTTATTTTTTATTTATTTATTTATTTATTTATTTATTTTTCGATCATATTTTTAACAATGCTGTTGATACTACAATTATTGGAAATGTCAAGTAATTTATCAAGCTCGAGTACTTTCAATCAAAGTATCGGACGTTTTCGAATAGTTATTTGAGTACTGATAAGGCATAACCGAACATTGTTTGTATTTTTGTAAAATTACATTGAGTCTCTACTTGAAACTCTTCCCAGCATCCACTATAACTTTTAATAGATACAAAATATATAATAATAAAATGGATGAGTAGATTTAGTAGTCAAATAAATTATCGCCATATTAATTAATGTATTCAATTGTAATTTGCATTATTCAAATATGACCGAACTTGAAACTGCTTTGTTATTGTAAGAGATAAGCAGTGGATTTAAGTGAATATAGAAAATCTATCGATAAAATATTGTCTGGAATCAGGATGACTACCCTGCCCAGATCCAACGTACAGTCCTAATCGTAAAACAAGTTATTCTCATTGCATACGAGCAATGTTCTAAATATTTGTTACATTTGGTGACTTATTATTTTTTTATTATTCTTTACTTTTATCTATTTGAATAAAAATCTTTAATAAAGAACATCGGTCTATTTAAAACACACACGCACGCACGAACATACGTATGCACACGCGCGCGCGCGCGCATATTATATAGAAATCTTCTTTCTTGATATCACAACGCTATGCGTGTAATTTATATTTACACAATTAAATGCGCATTACATTACTGATTATACTGTGAGTATTGATAGATACTGGTATCTAACGATATTAATGAAATAAGAAAATTCTGATGAAGAATAATGTATAATTGTTGTGGAAGCTATAATATGGATTATTACATTTTTAAAAATAATTATTAAACTTTTCTCATCGCTTTGTGTAAAATTGTCATTACGCTGTAATCGAAGACGAATAGTAATATATTTTTATAAATCTTTGATATATCTCATTCATTTATTGAATTGAATGTACTAATTTTTCATTCTTTCTTTTTTTTTTTTCTTTCTTCTTCTTCATCTTCTTCATCATCATCATCTTCTTCTTCTTCTTCTTGAATTATTTATAAAATTATTCGTATTAAGTTATAATCCATATATATTCGTATAATTTGCTTTGATGCTGATACGAGCTGTTGTCTTAAAAATTTGATATATCTGTATATTTACATTGTATCATCGGTTTATGTTTGTTAGATAATATTGGATTGTTAGATCTTTCATTATTAGCATTAGCTCAAAATTTAAAAATATTTTTGTTATAGGTGCAAAAAGTGCCGAGAGACGAAGTAGAAAAAGATTTAGAATTTCTCGGCTTAATCGTCCTTGAAAACAGATTAAAGAAACCAACGACCAAAGTTATAAACAATCTTAGGGATGCTAATATTAAAACAGTTATGATTACCGGTAATCGAGTTTAATGTTTCGTTCATATAAACTATTTTGCTTTTATTTCATTCTGGGCGTTAACAGACTATGTGAAATGCATGTAAAATTTGCAGGTGATAATATTCAGACCGCTATCAGTGTTGCCAAAGAGTGCGGAATTTTGTCATCCGAAGAGACCGTAATAAGCGTATCCGTTTCTCCAGCGAGAGATAAAAATCAGCTCGAGATATACTTCAATGTACAAGGAATTCCACAATTGGTAGGAAATTTTTTTTATCGTTAGGTCGCTTATCGCAATTGGTTTTAAGCTTATTGAATATAATACATCAATGATGGTGCCTTGTTATACTTATTAAAATGTTAATATTCAATTCAGGTAAAAATGAATATTAAAACAGTAATTTTCATTAAGTTTATGAATCAGAGATTATTTTGGATATGAATTGTTGATTACTGTTTAAAAATTACTAATTAAAAATTAATCTTTATTGTATGGTAAGAGTCATAAATGGTGTAGGTTTTAATGTATTTTTTAAATATTACTTTGAAGTAGATGTAAGCATACAATTATGAGTGAATCATACAAGTTCATGCGTATGGGTAAAGTATATATCGACGATAAGTATTAAATAAAAATTAATTATAAAGATTAAAAATTTATTATTTTTTCTGTTTGTTAAAGTCACTTTAAAAACTACATAAAATTATCCTCGTCTTATAAGGTCCTTTAAATAAATATTTAAAGGGTATTATAATTTACTATTAATGCGAGTTGTTCTGGATGTTGAGTAGTTTAATGCGATGGCATTTGTTTTATTATAAATTTAAATGCAATTATGGCTTAGTTTCAAGAAAAAATGTTTTAAACTTCATCGCAGGATAAGAAGTTCAAGTCAATAACGTTGGAAGAGCTGGAGCTCGGAAATTATGCACAAAATTATAAATTTGCTTTGACGGGTGACACTTGGCAATTGTTGCGAAAATATTACGCAGACATTCTGCCAAGGATTTGCACCAGAGGAGCAGTCTTCGCGAGAATGAGCAGCGATCAAAAACAACAGCTGGTAATGGAATTAATTCAATTGGGTTATTACGTTGGTTTGTATCTATCTGCTCTCTTTTTCAAACAAAAATTTTATCTTCATTACTTTTAACATTATAATTCAATTTAATTATTTAATATATATATATATATATATATATTAGCTTATAATATAACAATAAAACATTCGGCATTTCACGCGTAATAAATTTGTAATAAAATAATATTATATGGTTACAATTTCTCAAATCTTTTGTTTCACGGATTATTGTATTAATCATTCGCAGCGACCTTGAAATTTATTCGCGTACGCTTCATATGCATTATTTATTATTATTATTATTATCTGTATGGTATTGATCGATCTAATAATCAATTAATATTTCTAAATAATCGAATGATCGAATGATCGAATGATCGAATGATCGAATGATCGGCTGTTTAGTAAAGAAAACAGAATTTTCGTCGATGTAAAGACATTTACATTTAATTACAAATAAGATTTAATTACAATGATTTAAAATGTAATATAACATCGGCACAATGCCAATCAATCAATTTTCACAAACACTTGCCAATGATTAAATAATATAATTCAATTTTTATATTGTAATGTTAATAATAAGAATTTACCTAAAATTTATTTTATCAGCGTAAATAATATCATCGATTTATTAAATAATATTATGTTCTTAGCAATGTGCGGTGATGGTGCAAACGACTGTGGAGCATTAAGAGCAGCTCATGTTGGAATTTCCCTTTCCGAGGCAGAATCGAGGTAGGCATTTTAATATTTTTATCAAACTAACTTTTACTTCTGCTATTATGAAATAACAAATTAAAAGCTTAGTTAAAATTATTCGATCATTGAATTTCGATTATAAGCTTATATGTACGGAAGCTTTTGTATGTACAGAAATTCATAAACTTAGTGCAACTTGTTTCACTCATCGATGATAATATTGCACGATCAATGTTATAGAAAAAAATTATTCAGCTACACTTGAACGAACTTCCATTGTTCGTCATAAAATAAAATTTTAAAATTCACTTAAAGTGTCTTTCTAAAGATTATCTTTCTAAAAAAAAACAATTCACTTGAAGCATATAACACATTCGAAAGTATAACAAATCTTTTAATTACAAATATAATTTTAAAAATCTTTTTTCAGCGTTGCCAGTCCATTTACCTCGCGAAATCCCGACATCACTTGCGTGCCAACACTCGTACAACAAGGTCGCGCGGCTCTCGTCACCTCCTTCGGTATCTTTAAATTTACGGTCTGCTACTCGCTTACGGAATTTATCAGCACGATAATTCTCTACTCCATCGGCTCTAATTTTACGGGAATGCAATTCTTCTACGTGGATGTGCTTCTATTTGTCAATTTCGCTTCTTTCTTCGGCAAGACCGAGGCTTACGATAAATGTTTGACAAAGGGACCACCAACATCGAGCCTTGTCAGTTTCACTCCGATGTTTTCACTCACCGTTCATACCATAATAATAGCCATTTTTGAAATTATTGTTTTTTATATAGTGCAGCAATTAAATTGGTTTACGCCTTTTATTGCCAAGAATGAATTCCTCTACGACTGCTACGAGAACTATTCAGTATTTTGCTTATCCACTTTCCAGTATGCCATGATAGCTATAATTTTCTCGCAGGGTAAACCTTACAGAAAGCCCATTTACACAAATAAATGCTTAATTTTGTCAATAATTGTACTGTCAATTGCCAATATTTATATAACTTTATATCCAGCTCAATGGATTATAAACTTACTTGAGCTAAAGATGCCACCCGTTTATAATTGGAGATTCGTTATTATTGCTCTTGCACTGATCAATTTCTTGGTATGTCTTGCATTTGAATCTTTTGTGATAGAATATATTATTCAGAGAAAGATTAAACCCAGATTGTACAAACCTGAAAAATCGAAAAAAGCATTTTTACTCGTAGAGTATGATTTAAAATGCAATCCAAACTGGCCACCAATTAGCATGGATATTCCAAATTTACCAGTTACAGCGAGCTACGAGAACATCATAAATTCAGCCCAAAAAGCAAATCTCAATATCGCGAATGAAAATAAACACAATATGCAAATGAACTATGTTTGCGCAAAAAATGGGGTTGACAATTTAGGGTTTAAGAACGATTCAACTGACAATGAAATTGATAAAATGTGATATTTTAAAAAGTACTTTGTTGCAAAAGAACTTCCGATTGCAGTAACCAATACAGTAGTTACATTAAATTTATTAATTGCTAATATTAAATGTTAAATACATATAGATCATTACGTCAATGTATTATCTTAAAGACTTGCGTATGTGTACGATTGAATATTATATATACAACATATTAAATATTAAATATGTAATTCAACTTATGATTACCTGAATTTATGTTTCTCAATAATAAACTTGTTCGTTCATAAAATAAAATAGATTACAAATCATTAATCGAGAGTTCCGTTCATCGTCAGAATCTATTATTTCAATAGTCTTGGCATTTTCTGAAATAACAAATGTAAATTTGTATAAACGATTGTATTATTGTAAACACGTGTAAATTAATTAATAAAAATGTCATTTTCCAAAAAAATATCATAAATTATTATCTTTTAAATTAAGCAATATGATTATTTCTTACCAATAATGGAATCGTGATTTTCTTTTAATTCATGTTGTATCCAATCTCTATATTGTAACACAACTTTGTTAAGCATGCGAATTGTGCTGTTATTAATTTTCTTTTTAAGTAATAAGGCAGGAAGCGATTTAATAAAATCCTTAAAAGTGTCCTCGCTAATCAATTTAATAATTACATTTATTTTATATAATATCGATAGAAAATCTAAAATCTTAATATTTGCTTATTTACAAAAATTTATCTTACCTATGTAAATATGTTAAATTATGGTCCACTGTAATTTCTGTAAGAATCATAAATAATTGCATTTGAAAATCATGGCTTGTTTGATGTAAATAAGCATTTATAAGACTTTTCAAGACGCCTCCTAGTGAAATATTGTTTTTGTACCAAATTTCATTTGCTTCTATTAATAAAATTCTCAACACTTTCGTTAAACACGAAACTGCAAATACTTGGCTATCCGTCCAATTGTCAAGCTTATCTATTGGACAATTAATACATTTACATATTACTTTAATAAAAATCACTACTTAAATAACTTAATGCTTACCTATGATAAATTGAAGGATTATCAGGCTCAAATGCTTATCTAAATTATCAATTTTCGTATTATTATGTATTGTCGTAAACCAAATGTAAATATAACATAAAGTTAAATTCTGCTCTAAACAATTTTCTGAAGAATTTACCGTCGAGTCTTCTTGAGACTTACCGATTTGTACATCACACTTTTGTTGTACATATGGAAATTCGAGAAATAAATTTTTTATAAAAACATTTTGAAATTTATTTTTATACCATATACTAGACAACCATGTTCCTCTTTCTCTTTCAAGTAGTTTTATGTATTCGATAGTCGATTGAATTATACTCGTTATACATTTTAAAAGAGACACTGCTTCGGTAGAAATGGAACGTTGAATATTAACAGAACCATACTGCTTTGGACACACTTCTAACCAGCTATCGAGCATCAATGGCATTAACGAGTCGATATAATTTTGCAGCGAATCTAAATCCACAAATCTATTCAATTTCTTATAAGTTCGAATGTCCTCAAAATTAATTGAACAGGTTTGTAGGGAATTTGAAGAATAAATTGGAAAAAAATCATTATCCTTAACATAATGCACTTTCGATGAATATATCGGTAAGCTTTTTTGAATACATTTTCTATTATTAACAATAGACAGCATAAAATGTTGTAAACTATTTAAAACTTTTATTCGCCATTTTATGCTGGTATTTTTGGAATTCAACTTTGTTATCAGTTGCCTACCTGGCTGAGCTTGTATTTGTAGCTTAGAAATCATATCCAAGAAATATAGCAGAATTTTATGACCATTACTTGCAAGAAAATTACTGCAATATTGAATTAATATGTCAAGAAATAAAAGCGAGTCTTCCATTATATTCTGATTAATATGAGTCATTGCACATGTTAGATATGAAATCAAAATATTACAAAATGGTATCAATTGGTCCTTTGAAACGGCATTTAAAATCAAATTTAATGCTTTTAAGGATTCTCTGCGGATGGCCTTTTCTTTATCAAGAATTAGAGCTGAAATTCCTTTAAGTAATTCGCTCAACTGAACATTCAGTATATCAACCGTGTGCTGCGATACAATCTCTTTTAATTCTCTAATTGCATTTTGCCTCACCGATGAATTATAATGCTGCAATCTTAGTAATAGATCCTAGAAATTTTAGAAATTGATTTATACATCTTTTGACAAATAAATCAAATGGGAATTAATTACATTTATAATGTATTACTTTTGTAAATATTTATTCTAAATACCTTAACATTAAGCTTTCTACGACTAAGAATCTGCGTCGCATCTTGCTGTTTTAACTGCTCGCGAATTACAATTTTCTTTACTTTGAAATTTGTATCCGTAATATTTAATCCTTTTGGTAATTGCTTAGAACCTTTAGTTTTAAGCTTAACTTTAGCCTTTTCCGACTTTAACTGCTTCTGATGTTTGTGATTCTTGCCCATAACGACAATTTCTTTAACTAAGCTATACAAATTATAGCACGTGCAAAAAATTAATTATTTATTCAAACATTATGTGGACATTAAAAAGTTTGCTTAATTGCTATTGTATATTATTTATAGCTATTATAGAGATAATACAAAAATCAAAGTGCAAATACTACAAATACTTACTATTATAATTGTATTACAAAAATAATTAACAAAATAGTATAAAAACATTAAAATATATTAAAATTATAAATGAAAGTATCTATATTATCTAAGTCATATTTATTTCTTAAAGTTATAGTTAATGACAATTAAGATATTATTCTTATTATGTGCGTTATAGTTAGAAATTCCGGAGACACGTTAAAACTTGGAATTGGAAATAATAAAATTTTGCCACACACGTGCCCAGATATAATATATTTAAATGCACTCAAGATGGCGCCACTCACAGTCTGTTTTACCATAGTTTATAACATAGTTTTAATTTATTTTATTTAATCTGCCGAACAGTTTCAGCAATACTCATCCTGTCATAATGAACATAATCAATTGACGAATTTTCATACTAGACAATAATAAAATTATAGGCAAATATATCTTTATTTGATTGATTTAATCATATTATAATACTTCCAGCTCATTCTAATACGCTGAATTATCAGATTCCCAATTGTAATTTCATAAGGTCGTATAATTAAAAATTTATCATTTGTTAAAATAAATTGTATATCTAAAAAATTATCTCAAAGTACATTAACTCGGAATTATTGAAAAATATGTGTAACACTTAATTTGGTTAATATTATTGAGAGAATTGTAGCAAAAATGTTAGGGAAGCAAAGGTAGATATTTATAACGCATGCGCACATAATTTAAAACAATTTTTTCAAGCAAATTATTTATAATCGCTGTTTTTGTGTGTGCGCGCGTGCGCGTGTGTGTGCGTGTGTGCGGGGGTTTGGGGTGGGGGGGGGGGGTGCGTGTGTGCGGGGGTTTGGGGTGGGGGGGGTGTGTATTATAAGTGCAGAATATTTCATTTGTTTTGCAATGCTGATATTGTATTTTATTTCCCGTCGATATGTATTGTATGGATAATCCTCATCACCGTACCACATGAAAATAAATGATATCAATAGTAAATTTCTACTATATCTACATGCGGTACAAGCCCTTGAAAATTTTAAATAAATTTTCTTATCATGACAGATTTAATAATATCGTGCTTTAATTTAGTCAGGACTAATGCTCACTTAGCAATCAGTTTGTCCTTTTAAATGAATTTGTTTTATTTAATTTTATGGACTTTGTTGAGCGACTAATTAACTAAGAAAATGTTATAATTACGGTTTCATAAAAATTGATAATAATAAAAAAAAGTAGATATTTTTAAACTTTGTCGTTTTAAAGTTTATCGTTCCCTTCGTACTATTAATTGTAATCATTCTAAATGCAAAGAATTTGAGGGGCTAAGCGAAATAGATAGTTCGATCCATCCATATCAAATAATAATGAATAATATTTTTTGCCCCGACATCTCTCATTACATCTATTGATTCGGTGAATTCGAATTCAGAAAATTAAACGCATCAACGTGTCATCGAAATGAAATCGAAATTTCCTATCGGACTTTTTCTTTCCTTTCTTCTTCATCTTTATTATGCGAGTGTCAGCGATGGAAGAGAAACGAGAACAATATGAGATGGCGACTGAGGAGAAAGAGGAGGAGGATCGTGAAGAGGAAGACGATGATGAAGACGAAGTATATGGTACGGGAGTAAGCGACCCAGCCAGCAGCAGTTGGGAAATGGAAGTAGAGGAGAAAGAAAAAGGGGTGACGCGGACTGAGAGGGACAGGAAAAATGCGAAATTCTCAGTCGGAGGGAGGCTTCCTTGAATGCGGAAAAGAGAGGGATGGTAGGAGTGGAAGAGAGCGAACGGCGTAAAAGCGTAGTCGTGTCGCACGTACGCTCGTCTGACAGCGACGTGCCCGGCATCGCGAATCGCCGCGGTCTCGCAACCAACCCCCGACGAAGCCCCACCCCTCTTCCTTCCGCCGCTATCACCCCCTCGTTTCTCCCCACCACCGTCTCCTCGTCTCCTTCCTCCAAACACACGCACGCACGCACGCACGCACGCACGCACTCGCACACACCCACACACACCCACTCTCTCTCTCTCTGCCTCTCTCTCTCTCTGTCTCTCGGTTTTTAGCTTTTTTATTTTCTATCCTGAACCTCCGCCTAGTTCTTTCTCTCACTTTCAATCTACGACTTTACGCACTCGTCTCTCTCACTCTCTAATTTTATCTCTAACATTAGCTCTCTTTTTTCTCGTTTTCAATGTTACCATAGCCTTTTCTTTTCTATTCTGTTCATATGCGTACGTGCGCGCGTACCTGAACGGGCACATATGTGTGTGTGGGTGTGTGCGTGCGTTTGCATGCATATATTTCGTTTTTGCACTCGGTAATCTACTTGGGGGTTTTGGATAAGATTTTCAATACTCTCTTTACTCTAAGAATGCCAAGAGTTTGCATATCAGAGTCCACCTTTATGTATTTATTCATTATAATAATAATAATAATAATAATAATAATAATAATAATAATTGTAATAATAATTGTAATAATAATAATAATAATAATAATAATAATTGTAATAATAATTGTAATAATAATAATAATAATAATAATAATAATTGTAATAGGTATCGCTATTTCACGCAAGTATAAAAAATATTTTTTCACATTAAAAACAAAAAAAAAAAAAAAAAAAAAAAATATATATATATAATTCATATTAGTTTTACAGACTAAATTACACCCTAATCTCATTCGTTAATAAATCATTAAAATTAGCCTGAATTATCGTGGTAAATGAAACGATAATATCAGAAAAAATAATTGCTAAAGAAAAGATGGATCGATATTAGATGAGGCAAATGTTAAAAATTAAAATGAATTATAAATGTAATAAAATGTTTAGTCGGATTGAAATTTTTTTTAATAGTTTTTACTTCCAATCCCATTAGACTTTTGATTTAAATGAACATTGTGTTATGCTTTTGAAGTTCTTCGACACGAGTCAAAGCTAATGAAGTAGGCCGCATCCTCTCTTATAATTATATTTATCATTCTTTTGTTTGTATTTCATGAGAATTGTCATATCGTTTAAAATTGATGTATTAGTGCGATTTAGATAATTTCAATATAGACCTTTGATATGGTATCTTTGATGCAAATAAGAATAGTTTTTAAACATAATTATAAAAAATTTTAATATCATCGAATGTGCTCTCGTTTGAATGTACTCGCTAATGTATTATTCTCTGGCTTGAAATTTTCGCTTAAACTATCCGTAATTATAAATATAATGTTTATAATACTATTATGTTGCCGACATTCGTAAATTAATTTTGAGATTGCATTATCAGCTGTTTATATACTTACAATATCAAGGCAATTTACGAAGACGCAAATCAAATAATATGTCATTATTCTTTTGTAACACTCTACTTATATACGGTATTACTGCCCTTTCTACGAGTCGATTAATTTTAAAGAATAATTCTTAACTACATCGTCATTCTTTAAATTGTGAATTTCTTAATATTTTATAGTATATTTCACGTTTGAAGGTTTGAACGAGATAAACAGATGGTATAATCAATTAAATAATTCTGCCTTTTCCCTTTTTTTGTATCTTTTATCGAAATATTGCCGAATCCGTAAAAAATATTTCCCAATAAATATTTGACTAATACAATATTTCACAAATTATTAATATTCTTATTGGTATTATAATACATTAAGGACGTGATAAGAGTAACGAGAGTTGCCAGACTCTCAACCTTCCCCTACAAGTTTATTTTCTTTCTACAGCTCCATCGACTCCACTCTTCCCTCTTTTTGACGATTTCCGTTGTTTTCTCGGCAATTCTAATCATTCCCTCTCCGTCTGGCGCTGCGTATACATTTTCTTCCCTCTCAGCTCCCCTCCATATTCCCAAGCGCATTGCGAAGACCAAACACATGCCCGCTATCTATCATCAAGATGTATTAGCGTCCAACATTTGCTGGCTGAAGCCGTCGTCGTGTTGCATTATGCACAAGGCGCTGCTTCGGTACTTACACCGATATTCCGATCCGGAGCAGAAACGAGACGACGAGGAAGGAGGTGCAGAGGAGGAAGAGGGACACAAACGTTGGTCTATATCTAAAGTGAGAATTGTCGTTAATCAGACTGGAGCCACTATCGGTCAATGTACCTTTTACGAATGCACCGACATCAACGCTCAGGTGTTTTGCTATTTTGCTGAACATATTTTTGTGACTTGCGTACTGTTGCAATTGGCGATGTACAAGTAATCCGAATGAAATCCTCGCTTGCTCGTTTATCCGTTAGTCCAGAAAAAGGCCTTCAAATTAACTATTATATCATCACTATTAAACTAGTGTGCTCGTTTATAAATAATCAATAAGGGAAGTTTAATTAAAGTTCTTGCTTATATTATTGAAACAAAAATAGAAACAAAAAACAAAAACAAAAACAAAAACAAAAAAACAAAAAAAACAAAAACTAAAAAAAAAGAAAGAAAAAAAAAAAGACTCGAAACACATAATTCATAATTTACTCCCGAGAAAGTTTCGACGAAGCTCCTTTACTTATTACATTATCAAAATCTGTCAATTAGTCGTGTACCAATTCGCAGCGGCGCTAGTAAATAATTTTTTGTTGCAAATGTTACGCTTTTATCGAAAAGCCTTACGAGATTACGAAGATTTTAAGTTTTCAAAATACTAACAAGAGTAATCACGGGACAACTAAGAGCAGTGGCCTGTGGATGATTTCCCGAGAGATACACAACTGCGACGTATTACGTGGCGTATTCCATTTCCACTTCGTCGTATCAAATCAAATGGTCAGGAGTGTCGTTCCAGCACTGTCCACCTCAAGCATCGACAATGAGTTTTAGCCAACCTCCTGCACCCTCTCTCAAGATCAATCCATTAGACCGCTTGAAAGACGGATTATAACAGCATAGTATAACTTACATTTAACATTGTAAGCTCCATTTTGACTAACCATCAAGGCATATAATATTTTTACCACTTACTACCGCTGCCAATTTTCGTAACTTTTTACAAAACTCTAGCTGACGAATTCAATTTTTTATTTTTTTTTTTTTTTTTTTGTTAGCTCAAGGCTAACAACGATGC